GAGGTTCCATTTAGCCATCATGGTGGTAGCTGTTAATAGACTAGCCTCCACTGTGAATTTGTCTAATCCCCTTTTAAATCCCTCTAATTGCCCAACTGGAAAACACCATGATTAGTTACCTAAGTGCGTTCCTTCAGATCATAACTGGCTTATGGCAGCTCCCGCTTCAAGGCAAGTGAGAAGCAGATGTGGTTTGCCCACGGCCTTCCTTTGCAGAGTCTCCTTTGGCGGTCTTCCCCACAAGTACTGATCCTGCCAAGATCTCGCAAGATAGGGCTATACCATGCCGCCTTGTCTCCCCATGTCTGGTTAAACTCAAAGTAATGGCCGCATCTTGAGGCCATAAATTCTTAACGTCAGTTATGTGTGGTATGGTGGTTAAGAGCGGTGGACTCTGATCTGGAGAACTGGATTTGATTCCACATTCCTCTTCCACATGAGGCCTGCTGGGTGACCTTGGGCCGCTCACAGTTCCCTCAGAATTCTCTCAGCCCCACCTGCCTCACAAGGTGCCCGTTGTAGGGAGAGAAAGGAAAGGTGATTGTAAGCTGTTTTGAGACTCCTTTAGGCAGACAAAAGCAGGGTGTAAAAACCACCTCTTCTTCTTTTTTGGCTGCCTTGAGTCCACTGCCCGGCAGTTTCACCGATACAATCTTTCTGCGCTGAAAAAAGCTCTCTCAAAACCAATCTCCTTTCAGACTTTTCTCCCCATGGGAAGACTGTACCTTTTCTTCCTCCCCTCCCACAACTCTACCCCGTGTGTCATGACTAAAGGACCGTAGGCCATTCACCCCCCCCCCCCCGTGGGTGATGGCAGACACCTCTGAAGTGTGTGGGGCTCTGCTGAGGCAACCGACTCCCACCTTTGAGCTTTTCCTTCTGGTTCAAAGACCCTGTTTGGCCTGCGGGGGGAAACGAAGCCGATGAGCTCGCATGCCCCACTGCGGTATTTCGCAAGCTTGACAAAACCGCTGAAGCACAGGGGAAAAGAAGACAAGGTCTCCGCTGCAGGAGTCTTGTGATCGTGACAGGATTCCAGCCTCTTCTTTTTATTTTTATAATGACAATATCTTTGCGAGCTGAAGTAGATAAGCCACTCGCGTGGATCACAGGTTTAGTGGCACCCACTGAGCTAAGGAAAGCGAAGGGCACTGGTGTGGAGTCGTGGTGCTGAACTGAAGGCTGAGCCCCTCTGGGTAATTTGGTCTCTGGTGCTGCGTCTCATTTTGTCGGCATTGGTTACCCCCGTGCGTGATGGCCTATAATTAGGGCTGGGGTCTGGAGATCTCCTAGGGGTTGCCACCACCACCACCCCGATGGGGGTGGGGGTTCCCCCAATTTCGGGTCCTCTGGTCTGCCTGCTGGCCAGCTGGCTGATGAGGGAGCCTCGCCCTCAAAGAGCTCCACGGTGCCTGACATGCCCGGTGCCGTCACCGACAGGTGACATTATCACGCCAGGCATGTTGCGTGGAGGACACTCTAGCATTTGGCAAAAAAACTCTATGGTGAGGTTTTTGCCAAACGCTAGAGCACCCCCCCCCCCATG